GTTATATAATGTGACTTTCAATGAGTGCAGATCAAGACAGTAGACCGTAAGCCTACTGTGCCAATGTCATGAAGAAGGATCTTTTTCTCCTGTTACCTGCGTGGGTTCCGGGGCCCTAATGTGAGGTAAAACAAGAATATATTCACTGCCTACCTAAAAGCATGGCCTAAGAGTCTGCTAACTTTGAAGTTGGAGTGCATCTGCCTGAGAGGCAAGGAACCAACAGTCTGCATACAAATAAGTCAAACTTGTAAAACTGGATGTGCATGCAACACTTAGGTTCTGCAGGAGACTAAAGTCCAGAAGTGGACAAACAACCAGAACTTTCTGCTGGTCGTTAAAGCTGGAAAACACGTTGAAGAAGAAGTTGGTCCCTTATTGATGAAATTCTCCCTCTTTCTCATTTGCCTTTAACTGTTTTCTTTTTGTGAGGTTTTAGTAAATGTTATAGCTTATAATGCTGCCTAAATATTTCGTTATGGGAGTCTAACTGCAGAAATAAAAATGAAATACAGAATAGGGCTGGCAAACATAGTTTCAGCCTCAAGAGGAAATTGTTAATACCGAAAGAGATAATCAACATTTTAAATTTTAAGAACTGTAAAATAGCGTGGTTGTTGTAACAGTGTCATTATCCTTAAGTTAGTTAGCTAGTCCTTCCTCTTGAGCCTAGGGCGGGGCATAGGGCAGAGGTCACAGCTCTCCCTGTTTGGCGGTTTGTTGCCAACTGTTTTAGGCCTTAGATGTTCATTAAGCCATGGTTGAGCCCTCCCTGATGATGCTTCTACACAGGGTCTCTCTTGGTCTTTTGTTTTCTCTTCCCTTCCGGTTTCCATATCTGGGCTTTATGGAAAGTCTGGTCTCATTCATTCTGAGTATGGTCGATGTAGTTCCAGCTGTGCTTTCTGATAAAATTGGATGCATGATCTTGCTTGGTCTCTTGTCTTATTTGCCTATTGGATCTGAAATCTGTCCAATGGAGGTTTAGCATTTTTCTAAGATATTAGTTCTCAAAATCCTTTAAAACTATATATATATATATTTTTTAGACAGATAAAAAGGTCACACTATGGAAGAGATTGGGTCCATACTCGGTTATATCCCCCAACACAGCAGTGGGTATATTGTAGCAAACCTTTACTCGATAGTCACTGGGGTGTCTGTAACAAAACAGTCAAGCTGTTTGCCCCCACCCTCTTTAAGATATCGGTTCATTCCATAGCTGTATTGTTCAGTTTACTAGCGCAGATTTTACAGAGATCCACGGGGATCGTTGCTAAAGCTGCAGAGTTTGTGTGACACGTTCATCTGGCAGGTGATTGTTCTGAGGAGATAGACCGAGCCATGTGGTGCAATTAAGCCAATTCTCTCAACTTGCGGAGACCGCAAACATTTTTTTAGAACTCAGTTGTTTCAAGAACCGACATCACAGCATTTGGTGCATTCCCATAAGTGCTATGTCCCCATTTTCAGCTACCAGCACAGAGTTCCAATACCAGTGGTGCTAGTAGAAGTCTGATTTTTATGTCCGCCTTGCCTTTCCTCCGAGCGTCCAGCATCGGCTAGATCCTCTCATCTCTTGCCACTGCATAACTCCCACCAGACTGTGATGATCCATTTGCTCCTCCGAATTGTACACCTTCTCCCACAAGACCCTAACCACATCTACCGTATCATGCTTCAATATTCCACCGAGCTGTGCAGAACAAGCCAGTCTGTTTGTTCCTTAATTTTTTGTAAGCTGAAACAAAGAATTACTCAGCATGGCAAATCGGAAGCTTAGTGAATATAAAGAAAGACAGACAACAAGGAAGCGTTTCGACCAAAATGGAGGATAAGGCATCACAGAATGTTTAGATTCAAAGTTATTTTTGCTTCCGTCAGCGCTTTGTTAGTGCAGTTTCTATAAAGAAGGTAGTCTACTGTTTCGCTGCCTGAGTTTAATTCTTGGTGCAGCCATGTGAGTTTTTTTTTTTTTTTTAATGTGGAATGCCTTTTATTTGTGCAGCGGTTGTGTCGTAGTATTCAAAATGGCAGGTAGTTGGTTTACGTGTGGACTGGTGACATTTCTTATATGATAATTTGTATGTGTGTATAGTCATTTTATTGTGACCGAGTACTTCCATCAATGACAAACTGTATTTCTGGTGATGACTGTTGGCTTTGGTGAATCTAGCAATTGCCATATGCATTTACTGTATGTGCATATTTCTGGACAGTTCTGAGACTAATTTGTCTGTTCACCAGTTTTGCAAATGCGAGAGTCAAGGACATTTCATTTGCTTTTTGCTGTCACAGGAACTGAACAAGTATAGGGAAACCCGATTGCAGTGAAGTTGAAATTTTGACTAAGACTAATTTTGACCACAGTCTTTATCAACAAACAAAACTATAGGACTTTTTTTAATTTTTATTTTGTTTCTGTAGTAAAGTTCTTACTTGACATGTGTCTGCTGTGAAAAAGCTGTGTCAGATGGACTGTGGTCATATCCGTTAATCCCTGAGTGAATCTGAGAAACAGGCTCTTGTGTCTGAAGTTGAACTGTATACTCGCTGTCAACCGCAAGCTGAGATCTTGTTGGTTCTTTGACATTAGCTGCAGGCGGATGATGATGTTGTTGAGGGGCATCACTTGGCTGATCAATTGTTTGTTTATCATCACCGCTAACAGCTGCTTTTATTGATGTGTCATTTGGCAATACTGATTCTGTGCTTTGGTTGATAGCACTGTCACTGAGGTTTTGTTTTGGAAGCTTCAACTTTGATGTGAACAAATACAGAGGTTTGGGCTGTCCTGGAGCCCTGTTAAGGTATCTGCTCCCAAAAGATATCTCTGAAATTAATGTCTTTATATCAAGAAGGCTAGAATTGACCAGATGTAAAAGTCCACTTAATTTCCCATGTCGGGTTTGGTTAGTTTGTAAAATGTCTTTGAGGTATTCTGCAGTAAAGTTTGTATTAGATTCAGGACAACAATTTGTTTCGTTTAGAGCATCAGCTGGTGATGCATTTTTTAAATTCTGGAGTAAACTGTTTGATCCAGCTTTGTGTCCTGTACTGTTAGAATTCTGGAGTAAACTGTTTAATCCAGCTTTGTGTCCTGTACTGTTAGAATTCTGGAGTAAACTGTTTAATCCAGCTTTGTGTTCTGTACTGTTAGAATTCTGGAATAAACTGTTCAACCCAGGTTTATGTCCTGTACTGTTAGAATTCTGGAGTAAACTGTTTGATCCAAGGTTCTGTCCTGCGCTGTTTGAATTCTCAAATGGTGACAAGTCAATCAGAGAAGCAGAGAAATTATGTTGTGCTTCAGAAAGCATACTCCCTGAAGCAGAAGTCATATTGTCGGCCAAAGGATCTGTGAAAGACTGCTGCATATTTATCATTTCAAACAAAGATGACAGCTGTTGTTGTTGTTGTCCAGCCAAGTTACCATTGTTGCTGTCGACGTTAATGATCTCTTGAAGCTGTTGAACCATCTGTGGAGCCTGGGAAGATTCTAGAGTATGATGGTCAATGGGTTGTTGATACTGCTGAAAATTAGAGGTGTCCAAAAATCTATCAGTGTTTGGAGTCGATGCTGCAGAACTTCCATGATTATCCCAGGCAAACTGCTGATCAAACTGACCGCTTTGTGAGATAACGGGATCAAAGTTATTCTGAGGCTGATGAGGTTCATAGTACTGAAACGCCTGACCCACAGACTGTGCTTCTACCACAGGAGCAGCTTCCTGAACATGTAGATTCCAAGGCTCATTAAACACCTGCTCCACAGGATTCCCCAACGGTGGATTTTGTTCACTGACCACGAGGTTCTGTGGTATGGCACCTTGTTTCATGAACGAAGGGCCTGTATTCTGTAGGGTTCTCCCGCTAGCAACACTTGATGTTAAGTTACTATGTATGCCAGCAATGACAGAAACAGCTGACCCCGACTGACCAACTTCTGGTCCAGTGAAGTCGGCCGAAGCGATAGCAGCAGCCACTCTATCAACATCTACATTTACAGGCCCCATGTGGTTTGACCCTAAGATTTTTTGGCGCTGTTCCACCAAACTAAAATCTCCATTTGGAAAACCTGAATATTGCCCGATTGGGTTATATGGATCTGGGAGAGCAACGTTTCTCATTTCAGTCACTTGGATATTCGAGCTTCCTAAATTTCTGTTTGTGAAACCTGGATCCACCTGCCAATTGTTGCTTCCTCCTGGAGACTGAGCTCCAGAAAACTTGGCATGGGTTGCATCAAACATGTCCCTCATAATCTGTCTATTCAAAAGAGGAACTGCAGTGGTTCGCAAAATATGCAAATTTCCTGGGTAGTTTTGCAAATCTTTTCCTAGTACTTCAAACGGTTGCTGGCCATACTGCTGTTGCTGTTGTTGCTGCTGCTGTTGCTGCTGTTGCTGCTGTTGTTGTTGCTGCTGCTGCTGCTGTTCCTGCTGCTGCTGCTGTGATCTTTGCTGGCTAACATTTGAAATTCTGAGCAAAACAGACAGTCCACTGATGGGATCATGTCTACTGTAAGATTCACCACTCAACAAATGTTTCAGAATTGGGGAAGGCGCTTTTGTTGTCTCCTGTGTGTTTAAGTTGGATCCCCGTGATTGCTGACCTACTTGTACAAGCCTAGCGTTGTGATGAACTTGATCCATCAACCTGGATGCTTTATCGTTGTAAGGATGACCCAGAATGAGAGATCGTAACATGGATGAATCAGTAGAGGTGTGAGTTCCTTGACTCTGCTGCAAGGCGGCCCTCAAGTTATCAGTTAAAGGAGAATTCATAATGTCATGCTGATGGTACGATGCCTGGTTCTGCATGTTTGCCAATGGTAAAAACTGTCGATCCTGTACATACAGTTGTTGAGAAGAAACTCCCTGTTGTTGCAGCGTAGACCCTGCTGGATTCGACAACGCAACCAGTCGAGCTTCCGTATTCCTCAGAAAATTCACATCACTAATACTATTGATATTATTCTGGAAATTATTTCTACCCACGGCCAATAATCTATGACTGTTAGGTCTTGTACCCCAAAGAGATTGCCCAGGTTTTGAGTGGACATGATTAGTATTCGAAGGTGGGGCTTGAGTCCAGGCTTCTGTTGCTGGTCTGCTAAGTCTGGCTTGACAGGTCTTGGCGCACAGGGACCCTACTGAGTCTTTAAGACTGCCCGTACACTCTCCTCTGCTGGCAAAAAACTCACACGTTGAATCCAGAATACTGTTCTGGTAGGACCCGGTTCCTGTAGGGACAAAAAAATTATTTGTCATTCTCAATTCTTTATAACCATTATCATCAAATATGTGGCCGACTGGCATGGGTGATCATGTATGTCCGCTTTCTGTGATCTTTAACAGCATGTATCAGTTCATGTGCTAACCCCACTCCATGCCATGCAAAAAGTTCACTTCTCAATGCCATGCACAAAATTCACCTCTTCATGCCATGCAAAAAAGTCACCTCTCTATGCCAGGCAAAAAAGTCACCTCTCCATGCCATGCAAAAAAGTCACCTCTCCATGCCATGCAGAAAAGTCACCTCTCCATGCCATGCAAAAAAGTAACATCTATATGCCATGAAAAAATTCACCTCTCCATGCGATGCAAAAAAATCACCTCTCCATGCCATGCAGAAAGGTCACCTCTCTATGCCATGTAAAAAAGTCACTGCTCCATACCATGCTAAAAAGTCACTTCTCCATGGCATGCTAAAAACATCACCTCTCCATGCCATTCAAAAAAGTCACCACTCTATGCCATGCAAAAAAGTCATCTCTCTATGCCATGCAGAAAGTCACCTCTCTTTGCCATGCAAAAAAGTCACCTCTCCATTCCATGCAAAAAAAGATACCTCTCCATGCCATGCAAAATAGTCACCTCTCCATGCCATGCAAAAAAGTCACCTCTCTATGCCATGCAAAAATGTCACCTCTCCATTCCATGCTAAAAAGTCACCTCTCTATGCCATGCAAAAAAGTCACCTCTTCATGCCATACAAAAAAGTCACCTCTCTATGCCATGCAAAAAAGTCACCTCTTCATGCCATACAAAAAAGTCACCTCTCTATGCCATGCCAACAAGTTTTTAAAAAGGGGAACTGCGTGGTCTCAAGGCCTTGAGTGCTAGAGGTTCCGGGTTCAATCCCCGGTAAGGGCTGTGATTTTTGGCAGTTGGAAATTGAAAAGAGTAACCTAACGGCGCAGCCTGGGCAAAATTTGCAGTTAAAAATCTACCCAAAGTATTTCAGTATTTCGCTGGTGCTACGACGCCTGTGGACAGTGCTAAGCTTCTTCGGACTCAAACTTGAGTTGGAAGAAGAACGGAGCACTTATGGTTACTACCCGTGTGCCATGATGTTGATTCGTTGTTCTAAACCAAATCAAAACCAAAGTTTTAAAGAATCAGCTTGGGTTGTGTTCCTCTGTCTCTTTCTCTAAAGATCTTGCCTGCTGTCACAACATGTTCGTTTTTTTTCCTTATACCTTGACCCCCCCCCTTCTCGCCCCCTCCCCCCCCCCTCGCCCCCCCCAATTAGGACTGTCTCTTTCTGGGGTTAGCGATATGTTGTCTTGGAGCTCTCGCCTCTTACAAAACATCTGGGTTGTTCCTTTTGGATGTTCAGGGAATTCTAAGTTAAACCACATCTCTGAAGTCTCAAGAAATTCCTTGGATTCTTTATAATACGACCTATTCCCTGTGTGGTTTTCAGGGTCTTACTGAGGGGAAAACAAGAATAAACCCACCCCTCCCTAACAGACATGCAGTAGGAGAACACTTAATGGGGGGGGCTTTCTTTGAAGTCGGAGTGCACCTGCACGAGTGTCAAGGAACCAACAATATGCATATAAATATGCGAGATTTGTTAAACGGATGTGCACGCAAAACTCCTGTTCTGGAAGAATACTAAAGTTCAGAGGTGGACGAACACCCAGAATTTTCTGCTGGATTTTAAGCCGGTAAATACGAAGAAGAAAAGACTATAATATGACCCCTAATTGATTCAGTACCTAAGAACTCGCCTGACCGAGTTGTTTTAGTAGCCCTATAAATACAATTTCATTGTTGTGAGCAGTTGTCATAGGGCCCCAGCACACTGGTTTGCTCAGGGGTCTTTAATGCCGTCAAGACGGCTCTGTCAAACAGTGTTTAAAAAGAGGTCAGGTCAACATCACGAGGACCATGTTTTGATGTTTACTTTAGACTAAAAGTGAGTGAGATTTAACCCCAGGAGGACATCCGCAAAGCGATAAACACCCGGTGACACAAAGTGCCACCATGCTGATGAGGATCACCCATGGAGAGGTCCCAGAAACCGCGTTCAGCCATCAGTGTTAGCTTTTCCCAAATCCTGACCAGTACACGGATTAAAGTTTCCTTTGCAATTTTGACTATCATGTTTAATTTAACAGTCACACTGGTGGCCTATGTTATTGTGCATTTCTTTATTTATTGCGATAATCAGTAAAAGTAAACTTTTGCTGGAGTTATATCCCTTTGAATATTTTTGATATTACTCCCCTTGAAAAAAAGTATTTCTTTTTAAATTATACTTCCCTGTTAATTTCCTTAAAACCAGAAGATATATGCCTGAGACAATACTTGTGTCTGTCTCCCAAACTGTTAGATATTGGTGTTAGTATTACAGGGTATGCCTTTGGGCACTCAGGGGCTATGACTAAAGATACAGCAGCAGGGGAGGCAAAAATGAAGTAGAAGGAATATTAAATTTAGGGTTTTAGTTAGACATCCACTTCCAATAGGTCTACATATAGGACAGCGGTGGAGATCAAGATGAGGTAGAGGGCGGGAGAATAAGACTTTCGTTCACTGTCCCAGGCGAAGCGGGGCAAATTAATCTAGTCAGTTGTTTAAAAAAAATTTTGAATTAGTCACATGATACTGATTCAAATTCATGACCTCTGCGTCAACAGGAAAGCATCTAGATACTGAGCTAACACTTTCCATATTTTGAGCACTAGGGTTAATACCCACCTCTACTAGGATATAAAGATGTGTTCAAATGAATAATACAGGTTTTGAGGTATATTCATGTGAACAAAATACAATGGTCTGTTTTGCGTGGAAAAAGAAAAAAAGAAAGAAAGTTGGAAACAGGAAGGGAACGACAATAAAGAAAGAAAAAAAAAACCAGACTGCAAAATAGTTTAGAGCTGAACGTTTGAGAAGAAGCACAATAAATATACGTAACAGCAACAAGGGTCTTAAAATTCCATGCTCCAGAAGTAGAAGACATTTCCTAATGTGGACAGGTCCTGCTAGTCTCACTAGTCATTGCCATGGGATGTGATTCCCTTGCCTCACCACAGCAAAATACCGGAAATGTGCCAACATGGCTATAAATAGGTGTTCTACTGTGGTTGTAAATTAACTAAATGAAATAATGAGAAATTCAACATGAAACAAACCGTTCTGGTAAAGTTTGTCAATGGCGGCGGGACATCTGCAGATGCAAAGCTTGTCCAAGTAGCAGGATTCATGACACTGTAGGCTTGGGGGACAGTCAGCTGTAACATTAGACAGATATTGTTATGGCCTTTAAGAGGACATTTGGCTGTAACAGTAGACAGAAAATTTAACGGTCCGTGAGAGAACATTCAGTGGTAACAGTAGATAAATAATGTAACGTCCGTAATAGGACACTCAGCTGTAACAGTAGACAGATAATGTAACGGTCTGTGAGAGGACATTCAGTGGTCACAGTAGACAGATAATGTAACGGTCTGTGAGAGGACATTCAGTGGTAACAGCAGACAAATAATGTAACGGTCTGTGAGAGGACATTCAGCGGTAACAGTAGACAGATAATGTAACGGTCTGTGAGAGGACAATTATCTGTAACAGAAGAAAGCTAATGTAACGGTCTGTGAGAGAACAGTCAGCTGTAACAGTAGATAGCTGATGTAACGGTCTGTGAGAGAACAGTCAGCTGTAACAGTAGATAGCTAATGAACCGGTCTGTGAGAGGACATTCAGCTGTAACAGTAGATAGCTAATGTAACGGTCTGTGAGAGAACAGTCAGCTGTAACAGTAGATAGCTAATGTAACGGTCTGTGAGAGAACAGTCAGCTGTAACAGTAGATAGCTGATGTAACGGTCTGTGAGAGGACATTCAGCTGTAACAGTAGATAGCTAATGTAACGGTCTGTGAGAGAACAGTCAGCTGTAACAGTAGATAGCTAATGTAACGGTCTGTGAGAGAACAGTCAGCTGTAACAGTAGATAGCTAATGTAACGGTCTGTGAGAGAACAGTCAGCTGTAACAGTAGATAGCAGATGTAACGGTCTGTGAGAGAACAGTCAGCTGTAACAGTAGATAGCTAATGTAACGGTCTGTGAGAGAACAGTCAGCTGTAACAGTAAACAGATAATGTAATGGTCTTTGAGAGGACATTCAGCGGTAACAGTAGACAGATAATGTAACGGTCTGTGAGAGAACAGTCAGCTGTAACAGTAGACAGATAATGTAATGGTCTTTGAGAGGACATTCAGCGGTAACAGTAGACAAATAATGTAACGGTCTGTGAGAGAACAGTCAGCTGTAACAGTAGACAGATAATGTAATGGTCTTTGAGAGGACATTCAGCGGTAACAGTAGACAGATAATGTAACGGTCTGTGAGAGAACAGTCAGCTGTAACAGATGACAGATAATGTAACGGTCTGTAAGAAGACAATGAGCAGTAACAGTAGACAGATAATGTAACGGTCTGTAAGAAGACAATGAGCTGTAACAGTAGACAGATAATGTAACGGTCTGAGAGAGAACAGTCGGCTGTAACAGTAGATGGATAATGTTACGGTCTGTGAGAGATCAGTCAGCAGTAACAGTAGACAGATAATGTTACGGTCTGTAAGAAGACAATGAGCTGTAAAAGTAGATAGATAATGTAACGGTCTGAGAGAAGACAATGAGCTGTAACAGTAGACAGATAATGTTACGTTTTGTGAGAGAACAGTCAGCTGTAACAGTAGACAGATAATGTAACGGTCTGTGAGAGAACAGTCAGCTGTAACAGTAGACAGATAATGTTACGGTCTGTAAGAAGACAATGAGCTGTAACAGTAGATAGATAATGTAACGGTCTGTGAGAGAACAGTCAGCTGTAACAGTAGACAGATAATGTTACGGTCTGTAAGAAGACAATGAGCTGTAACAGTAGATAGATAATGTAACGGTCTGAGAGAAGACAATGAGCTGTAACAGTAGACAGATAATGTAACGGTCTGTAAGAAGACAATGAGCTGTAACAGTAGACAGATAATGTAACGGTCTGTGAGAAGACAATGAGCTGTAACAGTAGACAGATAATGTAGTGATCTTTAAAAGGACAATGAGCTGTAACGGTGGAGTGATAAATTTGTAGGGCAAATCCAGGGTGGAATTGGGGATGCAAAGGCTCCTCATCCGTGTTTTCTTTGGGGCGGCGCACCTAATGGGAGGTGGTGGTAGACTGAGCTTGAGAGAAGCAGACAGTGAGTCTCAAGTTGCCAGAAGGCAGGCAGAGGCTGATATTACAGTGACAGTGGTTTCAGTTGCCTAACCAGTGGGCTCGTCGTCAAGAAGAAAACCACTGGCAAACTGCCTTCTACAAGATGGCTAGAAACGTAAAGCTCTCACAACTGACACAACGTTAGAGTTAATCCGTGACTGTGGTGATCGTGTGTAAATAGCAAAATAGGACATCTTAAGCTTATCGGCACGGCACATGAAGATGATGATGGTGGTGGTGGTGGTGGTGATAATAACGATGATAATGATGACGTTAATAATGATGTTGATGATGATAATGAACATAATAATAATGATGTTAATGATAATGGTGATAGTGATAATGATGGTGATAATGATGATGATAATGTTGATGATAATGATGATGATGATGATGGTCGTGGTGGTGATAATGATGGTGGTGGTGGTGGTGGTAATACAAGTCGATTAGAGGTCTATGAAGGGGGCAGCAGACGCGCTCACCTGAACACTTGTAGAGGCGATTCACCGTCTCGGTATCGCCAAAAGAAGGCTTCTCTGCCCGGCCGATCACATCTTGAAACAGTCTTTCTGTTGTCTGGAGGGTTGTCAGCTCCGGGGACTTGGCGAAGTACTGGGAAGACAGATTCGTGTACGTGACTTACAGATACAGCTTATAATCTGACTATTATCATGCATGTATGTTATCTTAGCGTGGGCTTTGTGTCTAAGTCGATACGAACGCTTCGTAATGCCGGGATGCCGGGTTCGATCCCAGCTGCAGGCCATACGCCTTGTGTTGGTTTCGACCGTGGTATCAGGCAGCCGACCGTCTAGGAGCAATGGCAAATTACTGGATGTAAATTTGCCTAGAAAAACCACACAATAGCCAGGGGCTTTGGGGTTGGTTCTGCAAAGTCCTGTAAAGGATACACAGCTAACGTTATGTTATCTTATCTTGTCACAATGACATGATCATGTTATGTGTACCCATTCGTGGTAAAGTCTTGGTTAGTTATGACTGAGCTACCGTGTAACAGTAGCCGGTACTATCTGTTTTCTGTTAACGTCGAATGTTTGCCGGCCTATACCAAACCTGACATCACATACTGAACCAACCAATTTTGGACGAAGCAGAGTTTTAGGGAAGATACTAGCCTTATCTGAGACAGAGGAAATGCAACTTGAAAACTTAATTTTATGACGGGGCAGACCAGGGTGCTTTATTAATTTCCTACCCCAAACAGGGGAAATTCACAGGTCACAGGACAGTCTAATATTTCAGGGGGTGGTAGATAGGCTGCATGCAGTCCCAGAACCTAGGCTGCATGCAGTCGTGGGACCTAGGCTGCACTCTATTGTTGGGCGTAGGTGGGTTGGGGTTAGGGCCAGTTCTAGATGTTTTGGGGTTGTTAAAAGCATCAGAAAGCCAAGAAACCCATTCTTACCACCCTCTAAAATGTTGGACTGTCCTGTGACGTCATCTGGGGTAGGATATTAATAAAGAACCCAGACCAGTCCATCTGCCTTGGTCTATGAAGTAAGCTCCAACAGTTGGATAGACAGAACACATCCCTTCTGATCCGGTAGCTTCTACAGCGTGCCTAATTTCTCGTGTTACCTTTCCTTTGGAGTAAACAAGGCAGGTCGAGATGAGAATCATTGTGCACCTGAAGTACTGTCAAAACATAGTCTCTGTAAAAATGCCCAGGTTTTGTTTTATGGTGAGGAGAAACGTCATTTCCATGCATCCTTATAGCACAACATAACACAATCGTCTGCAAAGACGGAAAGGTGCTATCAACAATTCTCTTACAATCGACACTGGGCAAGCCCGTGCATGGCTTGTCCTCTAATGCAGTAGCAACATCACTGTATCTCTACTGATTGTTCCAATGAGAATTTAGTTATAATTTCTCCTATCGTGACTTTAAAGGTGACACAGAATTCCTTCACCAGGCTTTACACCCAGCTCATGCAATCATGTTGGAATCAGATATGCGTCATCATCCAGCAGATAGTCAATGCAGAGTGGATCTTATCTGCTCTGTCCATGCTTCTTCGTGTTTGCCATGGTGCAATTCCTGCCAGTTGGTCCACTCGTTCATTATCTTTTACTCCATTAAGTCTAAATACGTCGATACCGGTAACGGAGGTTAAATGCAACTTCTGAATGATGTCTGTCTTTTCCGACACGTGTTGTGATTGTATTAAGCTTGTTCATTGAATCTGATATAATTACTGTGTGTATGCCTTCTTGTGTTCTGTTGACCATGTCACTTTACAGAAGCAGCGGTTACTCCATGGCCATGCTGATTGGTAAGTGTCACAATCCTCTTGTGCGGATCTCCCCACCACCACTACCCCACCCATATTGGGCATATAGGGCTAGACATATATATTTTAAAGACCAACTGGCACTTGGTGGATGAAGTGGTCAGCATCACGCCAGCCGCCTTTTCTTCCCAGGACTGCACCTGCCACACACTAAAGGCCGGGTCCACCAGAGAGCAAAGATCATTTTTGAAAAACATTCAGCTCCGTCAGGACCCGAACATACCACCTTCTGATCCGCAGGCTAGCGTCTAGCTGCTCCACCATGGCGACTTCTGCCAGCTTAATTGCACACTTTTAATTTTTACCGGGTCGGTCTCCCAAATGCCCTTCCCCTTGTTAAGTTGATGCTGAGTACAAGGTAAAACTGGACTCACATTCCTGCCGTAGTGCATGACGGACGTGTAGTCATACTTGACTGCTTTCTCCGTGATAGAACCAGACAGAAGTTTCGAAAACTGGTATCTGCATACATAAACAACATGATTTATGACATCTGATATCACCACATTGAATTATTATGATTTATGTGATCTGGTGTGTAAACATAGAAATATGACGATTTATGAGATTTGGTGTTTACACATAGAAATATGATGATTTATGGGATCTGGTGTTTACACATAGAAATATGATGATTTATGAGATCTGGTGTTTACATGTAGAAATATGATGATTTATGAGAACTGGTGTTTACACATAGAAATATGATGATTTATGGGATCTGGTGTTTACACATAGAAATATGATGATTTATGAGATCTGGTGTTTACACGTAGAAATATGATGATTTATGAGATCTGGTGTTTACACATAGAAATATGATGATTTATGAGATCTGGTGTTTACACATAGAAATATGATGATTTATGTGATCTGGTGTTTACACATAGAAATATGATGATTTATGGGATCCGGTGTTTACACATAGAAATATGATGATTTATGAGATTTGGTGTTTACACATAGAAATATGGTGATTTATGAGATCTGGTGTTTACACATAGAAATATGATGATTTATGGGATCTGGTGTTTACACGTAGAAATATGATGATTTATGAGATTTGGTGTTTACACATAGAAATATGATGATTTATGAGATCTGGTGTTTATACATAGAAATATGATGATTTATGGGATCTGGTGTTTACACGTAGAAATATGATGATTTATGAGATCTGGTGTTTACACATAGAAATGTGATGATTTATGAGATCTGGTGTTTACACATAGAAATATGATGATTTATGTGATCTGGTGTTTACACATAGAAATATGATGATTTATGTGATCTGGTGTTTACACATAGAAATATGATGATTTATTAGATCTGGTGTTTACACATAGAAATATGTTGATTTATTGGATCTGGTGTTTACACATAGAAATATCCTGATATATGAGATCTGGTAAAGAACCTATTTTACATTTCACTTGTTCTAAAATAACCAGCCAAACAAACAAGACACAAGCAACCAACCAGACAGAAAGACAGACACCATGCCTCCCCTGAGACATGTTCCGGACGTTTTCTAGCAGTACTTTAATAAACTTGTCCCAACAAACAAGACACAAGCAACCAACCAGACAGAAAGACAGACACCATGCCTCTCCTGAGACATGTTCCGGACGTTTTCTAGCAGTACTTTGACAAACTTGTCCCAACAAACAAGACACAAGCAACCAACCAGACAGAAAGACAGACACCATACCTCTCCTGAGACATGTTCCGGACGTTTTCTAGCAGTACTTTGACAAACTTGTCCCAACAAACAAGACACAAGCAACCAACCAGACAGAAAGACAGACACCATACCTCTCCTGAGACATGTTCCGGACGTTTTCTAGCAGTACTTTGACAAACTTGTCCCAACAAACAAGACACAAGCAACCAACCAGACAGAAAGACAGACACCATACCTCTCCTGAGACATGTTCCAGACGTTTTCTAGCAGTACTTTGACCAACTTGTCCCAACAAACAAGACACAAGCAACCAACCAGACAGAAAGATAGACACCATACCTCTCCTGAGACATGTTCCGGACGTTTTCTAGCAGTACTTTTAACAAACTTGTCCCAACAAACAAGACACAAGCAACCAACCAGACAGAAAGACAGACACCATGCCTCTCCTGAGACATGTTCCGGACGTTTTCTAGCAGTACTTTGACAAAATTGTCCCAACAAACAAGACACAAGCAACCAACCAGACAGAAAGACAGACACCATACCTCTCCTGAGACATGTTCCAGACGTTTTCTAGCAGTACTTTGACAAACTTGTCCCAACAAACAAAACACAAGCAACCAACCAGACAGAAAGACAGACACCATACCTCTCCTGAGACATGTTCCTGACGTTTTCTAGCAGTACTTTTAACAAACTTGTCCCAACAAACAAGACACAAGCAACCAACCAGACAGAAAGACAGACACCATACCTCTCCTGAGACATGTTCCGGACGTTTTCTAGCAGTACTTTGACAAACTTGTCCCAACAAACAAGACACAAGCAACCAACCAGACAGAAAGACAGACACCATGCCTTCCCTGAGACATGTTCCGGACGTTTTCTAGCAGTACTTTTAACAAACTTGTTCCAACAAACAAGACACAAGCAACCAACCAGACAGAAAGACAGACACCATACCTCTCCTGAGACATGTTCCGGACGTTTTCTAGCAGTACTTTGAAAAACTTGTCCCAACAAACAAGACACAAGCAACCAACCAGACAGAAAGACAGACACCATGCCTCCCCTGAGACATGTTCCGGACGTTTTCTAGCAGTACTTTTAACAAACTTGTCCCAACAAACAAGACACAAGCAACCAACCAGGCAGAAAGACAGACACCATGCCTCCCCTGAGACATGTTCCGGACGTTTTCTAGCAGTACTTTTAACAAACTTGTCCCAACAAACAAGACACAAGCAACCAACCAGTCAGAAAGACAGACACCATACCTCTCCTGAGACATGTTCCGGACGTTTTCTAGCAGTACTTTGACAAACTTGTCCCAACAAACAAGACACAAGCAACCAACCAGACAGAAAGACAGACACCATGCCTCCCCTGAGACATGTTCCGGACGTTTTCTAGCAGTACTTTTAACAAACTTGTCTCAACAAACAAGACACAAGCAACCAACCAGACAGAAAGACAGACACCATGCCTCTCCTGAGACATGTTCCGGACGTTTTCTAGCAGTACTTTTAACAAACTTGTCCCAACAAACAAGATACAAGCAACCAACCAGACAGAAAGACAGACACCATGCCTCCCCTGAGACATGTTCCGGACGTTTTCTAGCAGTACTTTGACAAACCTGTCCCAACAAACAAGACACAATCAATCAACCAGACAGAAAGACAGACACTATGCCTCCCCTGAGACATGTTCCGGACGTTTTCTAGCAGTACTTTTAACAAACTTGTCCCAACAAACAAGACACAAGCAACCAACCAGACAGAAAGACAGACACCATGCCTCCCCTGAGACATGTTCCGGACGTTTTCTAGCAGTACTTTTAACAAACTTGTCCCAACAAACAAGACACAAGCAACCAACCAGACAGAAAGACAGACACCATACCTCTCCTGAGACATGTTCCGGACGTTTTCTAGCAGTACTTTGACAAACTTGTCCCTGTCATGTCGCTGATGTTCGTGAATCAACCCTATCACGTGACCCAGCTCATGAATTAGGATGCGCTTCTGCAAATTGCACAAGAAGAATATTTTCAGTAACGGCACATGATGATTTCTTCGTACACACGAATGTTTTACAATACTTCCTGTTTTTCTTTCGTTGGCTTTAAATAGATTATCTATATCTGCAGAGTTCTCTCTCTCTCTCTCTCTCTCTCTCTCTCTCTCTCTCTCTCTCTCTCTCTCTCTCTCTCTCTCTCTCTCTCTCTCTCTCTCTCTTCTTTTACCCCACCAGGACATCACACAAGCGATAAACACCCGATGACACAAAGTGCCAACATGTGGATGAGGATCACCCTTGGAGAGGTGCCAGAAACCACGTTCAGCCATTAGACCATATTTATGGCCGGGCTATATTTCGGCCCCTGGCAAGAGCCAGAGTAGGGATTCAAATAACGAAAAATTTCATCTCAAAAAGGGATAACAGGATTGTGTCTCGAGTATGAACTTCACTGTCTTGTGTAATTCACTCAGAGACTCGTAAAGTTTGGGTTTTACAAAAAATTGTGCGGAGGCTTTTAAAGATTAAATTAAAACAGTAAATGATTCTGTTCATGCCTTCAGTCTTGATGGGCATATAGGGCTAGACCTGTATTCTATTGACCAACATGTTAAAGTTAAAGTCGACTTTGAAGGTTAAAGTCGAGAGGACTGACTTTATTGCACAAAGTTTTACACCATATGACTCGGTCTCTCTCCGCAGAACGGCCTGCCGAGAGCATCGCACAGAGCACGAGCTCCGTAGCTCCGGCGACAATCTAAAGGGATCTCAGTGAAACATTGCACTCGTGAACTAAAGGGCGCAGCCGTGGAGCGAAAGGCAAACGGCTTGACCAGTTCGCCACAATAACCCCCATTTTATAGACACATGGGCACTTACTGGATGATGTGGTCAGCATCACGCTGGCCGTCTTTACTTCCCAAGACTTCACCTGGTACTATTCAAGGCCTGGTCGACCTGGGACCGAGGGTCATTTTTGAGGTGGGGGGGATCTGTACCGTCAGGACCCGAACCAATGACGGTCTGATACTTGTTTGTTTCTTTTAGTATCCAGAAGCCATGAGTTGTTAACCCTTAGGCTCGGTATTATGGATATCGCAACCTTTCGGCCTTGATTCCATTGTAAATACCGTAAATCTGGGAGAAATTTGGCTTTTCTGCCTACCCCCGGGAGTGAACCCGGACCACAAGGTGTTCGTCACCCGGTCACCGCGCAATCCGGTTTAGCCAACTACGCTACAGAGCCGGGCAAACCACTACACTGCGGCGACTCTCGGAATGAGCTATTAGTATTTCTTCTTCTTCTTTTCTTTTTTTGATCCGAAAGCCTCTGTTTTCCACGTCCATCAGTCGAGAGCCAGTGTATCTAAGTTTAGCTGCCTTTTGCAGTCAGCATCATGAGCATTGCCAACCAGCCGAGGAGTTCGTGATGTAGTCTATGTCAGTCTTTTCACAAGGGACAGAGAGGGACAACAACGAAAGTACGTCGCTTAGTGCAGCAAAGCCTGGCATATGATATCACAACGTCTAGTCTGAGAATGGAGGTGGAGGCAGTCACTGCTGCCTCCAGGTGGCTTGAGAATCAGCTGTACACACACGCTGTGATTGTAACTGACTATCAGAGCATGTTGAGAAAGGTGAAGACAGGTATGCTTCGTGCAGAGTGGCAAGCATTATTTCAGAGGTCCCGCGTAGTTAACATCCTTTGGATATTCTCTCTAAGTGTTACCGGTGTGTTGGAAAATGGGCAGACAGATAGACTGGCCGATTCTGCTGGACTTGGTGGTGATTCGAGGTATAATAAGCCATTGATTGTGAGGGCCCATGGGGAGCGAGTGAACAGTGCGGAGGTACAAACAGATCATTGAGGTCTGAGGAGAATGGCGCTGCGGAGAGTTACCAGAGGATCTGACCGACTCTCAACATTCAAGGGAAAGGCGAGACGGATATACAATCAGTTACTGGTACCATCGGAATAGGATCTCTTCGCTTGCTACTGAAGATAGGGACAGAGCGCTTGTGGGAGTGTCCCGAGTGCTGTGATGTCGATCCTTATTCAACATTTAACCTGCTGTGTGGGGAACATGTGAACTAGAGAAATGAGGAAGTCCAAGAGGAACTCTAAGATAAACGTTGATGATAGAACCCAAAGGAGCTGGACTGGTTTCTAACCATTATATGGAAAACATTTATTAAAAGAAACAAAGAAATAGCGAGCCCTATGTGATGTATAAAGGCACAAAGTGTGATGATTACCTTTTCAAGATGTCTACAAGTATTTTAACGTTCGACTCTCTTCAGGTAACAAATTAATCCTGGTATGTCTGTGTAAAAAGTAATGAACGAGCGGACCAACTGGCAAGCACTGCACCAACGCAGGAACAAAGAAGCATGAACAGGTTAGAAATTATTAACTCTGCATAGACTTTGTCCGTGGAAAATTACTAATCTATGACATAACACGAATTGGTGACTTAAGAATATTTATAATTCAACTAAACCAAATTTTAGTATAAATGATTATAGAAGTATAAAACATTCACTTTCAATGCATTGACGCCCCCTTGAAACCTCTTGCGCCCCTACCCCTTTTCCTCCCAGACTAGAAACCACTGTCCTAGGGCGATCTCTTGAGTTCATATTAGTTTTCATGTGTAGTGCAATTTGTTCGTAATTCTGGCCAAATAGTTAGATACGGCAAAACCATTTGATTCTATTTCTTTTCAATAAACTTGGACAAGATGTCTTCACAATCTGTTTGATAATATCATTTCTCACTTGAATGGTTAAGATGGCGGCTTTCCTTGAGTATCTCATTTCACGTGTGTTAGTTCTACATAGGCTAACCTTTGAAAATGTCCAAGTTTGGCACTGGTAGAGCAGTGTTGGTATGAATGTACTGTTCAGACTCTGTATCTTGTCTACCATACTTATGTTTGCATGACTTAAATTAACGGCGTCACGTAATATAAGGTTAGTTGCGTATCCTTTACAGGACGTTGCAGAACCAACCCCATCAGCCCCTGGCTGTTGTGTGGTTTCACTAGGCAAATTTACGTCCAGTAGTTTGCCATTGCTTCTAGACGGTCGGCTCCCTGATAACACGGTCGAAACCAACGCAAGCCAGCAGCTGGGATCGAACCCGGTACCCCGGCATTGCGAAGCGTTCGCATCGACTTAGCTACAGAGCCGACGTCACCTAATATACAAGTGTGATAACACAATAAAAAGATGATATTATCTGTCCTCAAAGACGGCAAACTTACCGATCTGCAGTTTCTAGCCAGCGTCACAATCTGCTCTCCACCTATATGTCCGATGTTTGTAGAGCATCTGCAATGTCGACAACCAAAATAGTAAAAACCGGGTAGGAGACAACATTTAGACATCCGCGGACACAAACAATCTGTCACGTGACAGAGGTATTGTCAACAACAGGTTCTTTTCCTATCTGCTGGTCGCAGCTCCGTCATTGAGATTTGCTTGCTGATTAACTGGCACAATACTGCAGATTGTAACGCTTGATGTGGCTGTTATATGTCTCCTAACTATAACTTATATGAGGTTGAACCGGGTATCTAGGATTCATCATGTTGGATTGTCATCCAGGATGTGGCTGTCGGGGTCTCAAGGGTGAACAAGCTTTTAAGTAGCAGCATTGAGGGAAAGCAGACGGACAGCTCTGTCTCATATTTATGAACACTTTATTAACGTATTCTTGAGAAGGCTGACATGTCTGAGATGAGCGGGGGTGACTAGAAGAGGAAAATCAGGAATTAGGCTCTTCTTCTTCTTTTTCTTCTGCTTCTTCTTCTTCTTCTTTTTACTTCTTCTTCTTTTTCTTCTTCTTCTTCTTCTTCTTCTTCGTCTTCTTCTTCTTCGTCTTCTTCTTCTTCTTCTTCTTCTTCTTCTTCGCGTTCACCGGCTGTAAACTCTGGCGGAAAGTTCTGGTTGTTTGTCTCACCTCTGGACTGTAGTCTTGTTCCAGAATCTGAGTGTTGCATGCACGCCCGTTTAACAGATCTGACTTAATTTTATGCAGATTTTTGGTTCCTTGCCTCTCAGGCAGATGCACTCCGACTTCGAAGGAAGCCCCAAATTAGTTGACTCCTATGACATGCTTGTTGGGAAGGCAGTGGGTCTATTCTTGTTTTCCCCACAATGGGACCCCAGAACCCACACGCGGAAGGAATTGGGCTAAATGAGAAACAGTCAAGCACAGAACCAGTCCTAAACTATATACAAAGACAATAGATAAAATCATTTCCTAACTTAAAGAGAATACCTTGAGATGCCACACCATACAAAGCTTGAGCCAAAGGAGGAGAGACACGGAGAACACAAGACAGACCAAGAACATGATGGAAAGATAACATCAGAGAAACAACTCTACCACAGCACGAGGTGTTTATTTTCAAGACCTCCAAAAAAGCCATAACCAAAACACCGTATACCCATGGACATTCAAAACGGCAAAAGAGGAGATGAAGAAGTAGCAGTGGAAGAAGATTCTTGGGAAGGCATACACTAGGAGATAATGTCTTCACATGTTTACACTAAAGAGTGTGTGCTGTAGGCGTCGAGAATACTTCTTCGTCCATAAATAGCATATCTGTCCACAACCCTCTGTCTTTAGGTTTAGGTTAGGTTTAAACAATGGATCAACATTCTCGCACTCGTGTAGTAACCCATCAGTGTTCAGTTCTACTTCAAGCCTGAGTCCGAAGAATCGGCAACGATTCTGAAATACTTTGGGTAGATTTTTTTTTAATGCAAATTTTGCCCGGGCAGCACCATTAGGCCATTCTTTTTCGATTTCAAACTGCCAAGGGATTTTTTAACGTACGCAACAATACCCAGAGAACAGGAAAAATAACTAGAAGTCCATGTGAACAGATCACAGTCTTTACCGGTGCTCGAACCCGGGACTTTCAGCACTCGAAGCGCATGCCAAGCCTCGAGACCACGCAGCCACCCTCTGTCTTGTTTACAGCCAATAAAACCTAATCCTGATTTTCTTCTGTCATGATGCCCTTTTTAGCAGCAAAAAGCAGCATTTCACAGGATGGAAAACATTATGCTGCAATCATTGTTGACATAAAGTTTGAAGTGAGAAATAAAGTTCTTACGAGTCATTTAGAGCACATCCTGATGTATGGAAGTAAATTATGGACATTCAACACATTAGTAAGAAATTATGTGGAAGCTGCAGAAACCGATGTACTGATGAATGATGAGACCACCCTAGACAGATAAAATAAAGAAGTCCTAAATGAAATTAACACCCAGAGACAAATGATTACCTGCCTCAGAAGTCAAGTCAGAGTCTTTGTGCACACACAAAGAAATGGAGGGGGAGGGGGGGGGGGACGGAAGTACATAGTAACTAAGAAATGGGGGAAAAAACGGAAGTACATAGTAACAAAATGTAAGCTGTACTGCAAGATAGACAGGTTAAGCCAGGTCTGACAATGTAGCATCTTGGCATAAAAAGACGTGTATCATAAATGCTTGGCAGGACATATGACAGAAGGTGCTGGATACATACGATGATCAACGCCACAAGGTATGGACTTGGGGGAAGAAGACATTGGAGTATTCTATTCCACCCAGCAAATGAGTCTGTCTATAAAAGATCTGAACATCAAGGAAGATTGTCTCGGAAGCTTAAATATTTTGCCCATATCAAGCGCTACGGCGGATTGGGGAAAAATAGCAGAAGGTATGGTGAAAGGAAGGAGAGGCAGGGGCCGACCAGGTTGACGCAGGATATTTTTGACTTCTTGGGTATGAAAGTGCTCGAGGGGGTAGAGCTGGCAAGAGATCGATTTTCTGTTAAGTGAACAGTGAGGAGAGCAACAGTCTGTGTTTTAGACAAACAAGGCAAATTCTAGCAACCCAGTTCAACTTCCGAAGAAGTTATAACTAGGATAGCCATAACTGCAACACCAGCCAGATGTAATGTGCAGACTTCTCAATTCAAAGCAGCTTTTAGTGGGTACCAGGTAAAGTCCTGGGAAGTGAAGGCGGCCGGCCAGATGTTGACCACATCATCCACTAAGTGCCGATTGGTCTATAAAATGTAACTGACGGGCACTTTTCCGTCTTTCCAGACGTCAGTGTTATAATGCGCTATGTGGAGGCACGGGAGTTACAGCCCGTGGCGAGGGCGAGTCTTTCACAATTATAGCATTAGGATTTCAGGACCATTGTTGTCAACATTTGTGTTTAGTCTTCTCAGATGCTTAGCTCTCATCCTTTCTGCAGTCATTTCTTCCTTCATTCTCATTTCCTTCCTGAAATGCCACCTTCCACAAAACACGGCCCATAGCATTTTGTTCCAATGAGTCCCCTTTAATACCTGTATCATTCATGTCCCGTCTGCACACGTCTTTGTATCGTAGTAGAAGTTTAAATATATATTCAAAAAAAGCTATGTCTAGTCCTATATGCCAAATACGCCTGAAAGAGTAGGATGAAGTTTCTTTTTACTCTACTATACAGTCATGCGGCGTGATGCTGACTGACCACATCACTCATCTTGTGCCGATGGTCTATAAAATATAGGTCTAGCCCTATATGCCCTATACGCCTAAAGGCGTGGAAAAGGGTCCTTTACTTTTACTCACCTATACAGTCAAGGGCCGAGTTGTCAGGCCTGATGCGGCCTAAAGTGTCGCAAGAAACGGCCTGCAAACACACAGGGGACGCAAGAGTGACAATATAAGTTAAGCTGTTAAGCTTTTGTATAACAAACATTTTTCAACAGGTAATAATTTAAAACCTTCACGGACACCCCCGTGCCGCGATGTTGTCAGAAAAGCAAAAATGGATGTGGGCGCGGATTGTAGCGTATTGTCTGTAAACAATTCTAATTAACAGACTCTTTTTCACAGCCTCCAGGCCAGACACACACACACACACACACACACACACACACACCACACACACACACTACACACACACAAATAATTTTCCACTCAGGCTCCGTCCTTTCATTCAGAAGTTAGAGGTTTTGAGGTTTTGAACAACGAATCAACATCATGGCACACGGGTAGCAACCCATAAGTGCTCCGTTCTTCTTCTAACTTAAGTCATGAGTCCGAAGAAGCTCAGCAGTGTCCAGGCTTTGTAGCACCGGAGATAATCCTGAAATATTTTGGGTAGATTTTTAGATTTTTTTTTTTTTTTTTGCGAGCATAACAATGCACACGGGCGTCCGATCTCACTACCCAGAGACAACGGGGAATTTACTAGAAGTGCCTGCCGTTACCGGGGTTTGAAACGTCTAGCACTCGAGGCGGACATCAACCTCGAGACCACGCAGCCCCCCTCAGATGCTAACGAAGGATCAACATGTGTGACGAAATGACCTCAGTGGTCTCAGAAGTTATATTGTGTTTAATAATTTCTTATGTTCAGAGAAGGACAAAGAATTAAAAGCAATAGTCACTGAGCCTAAAATAGTTCTAAAACCACTACAAGGGATTTGAGAATTGTTTAAACTGCGTTTCCAATCTCTAGCCAGACAAAGCAACCTTGCTTTAGGTAATATTACCTTGGCTAGGAATTCCTTTCTCACGCCCATGTCATATAATTATCTCCTGCCTAGTCTGTAGTGGCAAGTAAATAGGGAGATAACTTCATATCACACCTGATTAGCTCCCCTGAAACCCGACTTTAGTGTCATAAAAAGTTACATAACACAGACTGATGGGCTCCTTTGGAACAGGATAGATCAGGGGAATTAAGTGGTCAGGTAGACATTGCTAGACAGGCCGGCGTCCAGCGTCTGAAGTTTTCACACATGATAGTGAAATTCTCCAGAGAGCAGATGTTTGGCAATTAAGAATGTTTAATCTTGGTCAAGGTCGTACTGTAGGCTGTTCACTGTGAGTGACAGGCCCTTGATAGCTAGGTTGATCTAATACGTACCTCGTAGGCGGGACTTAAGTCATCTCCTTTAGGGTTGGGTATAACCTAGTAGAGGGTGGAGTTAACCTTGCAGACAGATAGGGGTATTAAGACACAAGCCCTGGAATTTCTGTCAGAATCGCTGCCACGAGCAAACAAACAGGTCGACCTTAGAGGTAATTCTAATGGTTTGATTCTAGTTGGCGATAGCTGGAAGTTTCCAGGTAAGCCTGTACAATTATTTTCAATCTTGTATACATAGGTTAGGGAGTTAGCTAAAATCTATTCTACCTTTTCCTAATTTGTCTACACATTCTGCTTGAAATAGTCCTTTGTGAGTATTCAGTATCTCAGTTAGGGAACTGCTAAACTATTTCTATTTCTGGTATGTTTGTGGCACATGTTTTTCAGTGTATGTT